TGATGTCTTTAATTCAATTCATCTTGAATGATGTTAACTTGAATCTTGATTTATATCATCATCAAAATCATCTCTTGAGAACATGAGGACACTTCTTCATCCGCCAATTCCACTGATCCACTGCATAACAACACTAACACACTAGTGGAAAAATAGCTTTCTATGACAGGTTTTTATCACGGTCGTAATCCACCCGTCATAGTATGTGGCGCGGTGGCAATTTTGTAATAAAATCATAAACTTTCTATGTCGGGTAAGTTTTAACCGACATAGTAAGTGGAAAGGTCACTTTCTATGTCGGGTAAAATCTAACCGACATAGAAAGTTAACTTTCTACGTCGGTTAAAATTTACCCGACATAGAAAGTTCACTTTCTACGTCGGGTAAATTTTAACCGACGTAGAAAGTTAACTTTCTACGTCGGTTAAATGTTACCCGACGTAGAAAGTGAACTTTCTACGTCGGTTAAATGTTACCCGACGTAGAAAGTGTCTTTGATGATGGGTGTTAGGGCAACCGACATAGTATCTTCTGCTCCTCCCGCCCATAGCAGAGCTCCCCTGTACGTTTCTCCCTACGCTCCATTTCCTTTCATCAGTTCACCCATACCAGAGCTCCCCCGTTCGCTTGTATACGTTTCTCCGCACCCACATTTGCTCGTCACGCCACCTGCCAACGCTTCGTGCCGCCTGCTGCTACCTGTTGCCGTCGCACGGGATACGTTTCTCCCCACCCAGCTCCGCACGTCACGCCACCTGCCACCTCTCGTAGGTCTTCAAGAGGTAAGATTTCGTGCTTTTAGCTACCTCCGTAGCCAATGTAGGTTTACAGTATTGAATCTAGTAAGTAATAATGCTGTCAAGAGAGGGAAACATCACGGGTGCCTTTAGCTAATTTAGAGATGTATTGTAAGTAGTTTAGACAAAAGATGGTGTCAATGCTCGTTTGGACATGTTCAAAGAACTAATAACTATTATTTTTTTCTTTGAACACGAGATATGGCAGATTCATCCGGTACCCCTCCTCCTACACAGTCCCCCCTCCTACACAAGGTGGTGATCGAGTCGACCGTCTACCGGGAAAAAGGGTAGGCGTGCTACACGGTTGAGGGAGTTGAATATCGATCGCAGCTCCGATCGGAAATTGCCTATCCAGTTTGACATGCAAGCTGGTAGAGCCACTGGAGAGCACAGTGCTAGATTCACTAGCTATGTGGCCTTGCTTGGGAGAAGCAAGGTTAGTATTCTTATTGAGGATTGGGACCATGTTCCGGAGACACCGAAGAACCAGATTTGGCGAGTATCCTGGTACCTACTCTTACTTGAGCATTTAACATGTATATATATTTAACTTTTTTTGGGAACTTCATGTTATTTTTATTGTGTAGGTCACATATGATGTCCCTAACACCACTTTGTTGAGGACAAAGTGGATCTCATATGCTTGGGGAACGCTGGAGAGGTTTTAAGAGTGATCTGACCAGTCGATACATATATGGGGCATTGAGCAACAAGAACCCATGTGACCGAGTATCGATTTTTGGATGAGGAGACATGGCAGGCATTTCGGACTCGGCGATTAGACCCTAGGTTTCGGGTTAGCACATTTGTCATTTGTTTGCGGTAATTTTTTTTAAATAGAGGTTTTAAATTTGGTATTTAACATGGAATGCAACAGGCCAAGAGGCGGAAGGCACGGGATATTCGGAGGAAGAATATCCACCCCCACAGGTTGTCTCGTGGGGGTTATGAGAAATTGGAGGAGAAGATGATGAAGGAGACTTCTTCAAGTCTACCTTCGGATGACTCCGTTGTGAGTTCTGTCACTCGCCCTTCACGCCATGATAAATGGAAGAGAGCTTGTCGGAACTCATCAGGGAATTACTTATCCGAGCAAACTAATGTTGTTGCTCAACGTATTGTAAGTAGCATATCCTAAACTAATTATATATGTTATACTACAATAGGCATTTGTATTTGCTAAAAAATCATTCGTTTGTGTTGTAGGATGAGTTGGTTGAGCAGAGCACTCGGGGATCATTCCACCCACATGGCCGTCGGGATATATTGGCGGTGGTCATTGGTACCCCAGAGCATCCCGGACGTGTTCGTGGTGCTGGACGAGGGGTGGGCATCGAGACAGTACTTTGGTGCCCCACCGTGGCAACTCCTTCTTTGAGGCAATTTGAATGAGCAAGAGTTTGAGTCCCTCAAACAACAAATTAGGAAGGAGATTCGAGATGAGGTGTACTCGACTTGAAGGCGGAGTTATTGAGCTCAATGCGAGCGAGTTGGCATCTTTGTCATCTCAACCTTCGTCCCCGCACGAGCGGCATCCCCGATTCATGTCGGCACAAAGGAGAGTTGTGATGCTCCGATAGAGGGGCAGAGGTTGCTCCTACCGACACTGCTGACCGTCGGTTGTATGTTGCGGGTCCTCCCGAGCATTTGGTGGCATACGGTACGTATTATATCTTTGACATGTATTTGGTACAGTGTTACACATTATATAGTCTAAGATATTTTATCCTTTGTTTACCTTAGGGAAAATGTATGCATTGGGGTCAACCATCCACCACCGGAGTATTGGAGATGATATGATCGAGTGGTGGTTGTAGATGTCCAGGATGCTGCTCGCCCCAATCCCTATTCCCACTGAAGAGGTTCAAACAGTGGGACAGGCACCTGGCCATTTTATCTTATGGCCGGTTTCATTAACAAGACCCATCCCAACACATGCACAGGTTGATTTATGCATTGAACGATAGTACTTATTATTTTTTGATAGGTTGATGTATATTAATGTTATTGATTTTTGGTACTTGTATAGGAAGAGGTCTGAAAAAGCAAAGGAAGTTGTGCATGAATCACCACCACCACCATCTCGCTTTACAGCGACTCGGTGCAACTGGCAGCGACTATCGGGACCACTCCCATACGAGTTAGATATGCCACCCGAAGTCGTATGCGGGACCAAGACGATCCCTTTTTCTTACTCCAAAGGGATATTTTTGATCTTCTCGCTGGTACTGATATGTTATGTGTATCAGTGTTGCAGCTTTGGGAATTGTAAGTATATTTACATATTTTTTATATACTCACTGGTACATTATTTTATAACCTTATTTATTTTCAATGTTGAAGGTATTTACATCGTTTGTGTGTTGAGAGGAAGATTCGCTATCTCTATGGATTTGTTGACCCTGTTGCCATTCAGTCCGTTGGGAATAAAGCTGAAGAGGTGCAAACGTACTTAATAGAGGCATTTCAAAATGGGGGCAAAGAAGTCTACTTAGCACCTTACTTGCATCGAGTAAGTATACATCTTGTAAATTAATGCACATTTATGTAAAACTGAAATTTTACTAATATTATTGCAACGTGCGAGGGTCATTGACAGCTCATAATAATTGTTCCTCGCCAATTTCTTGTGATTCTCTTGTGTTCATTACACAAGAAACCAAATGATTTGGATATTAGAAAGCACATAGACGCGTAAGTTTGGTTGTTTTTAATTGTTGTATCATATGTGCACTACTTACACCAAAATTATTTGTCCTTTTGTAGAGCTTTGGAAGCTCTCCTAAGGTTGCAAGGTCTTCCATCTCATGCTAGAAAGAAGTTGACGTATATTGCACCAAAGGTGACCAAACACCTCTTACTTGTTGTTCAATTTGTCATTTAAAGTTAATCGACATGTATTTAACTTGTAGTGTCCACGCCAACCGGAAGCCATGAGTGCGGGTTTTATGTGATGAAGCACATGCACACCATTGTAGTCAAAAATATTCTTGACACGTGGAGGGAGGTAAATATACTATAATTAAGTCAAATATGCCAATTATGTAAATGATTTCTAAATTTGAAATGTTTCAATATGTAGGAATTTACAGACTCATCTCCAATGAAGATTGAAGTCTTAGACGATATCGAGAGAGCGATGGGCTTCTTTCCTTTTAAGCATTCAATCTTCATAGGAAATTTAACTTGTAACAATTTAGATAGAATTGATTTAAGTTAGGAAATTTACATTCGTTTAAGTAAATGAACTGTCTGGAAGCTGGATCTGTCTGTACATATATTCATTTCAATGTGTTTCATATGTACATATCTACTGTCTGCAATCGAATCTGTCTGTCCTGGATATATATACTGTAGCAAATTTATATATGAACTGTGCATATCTGTCATGCTCGGATCTGTGGTTATTTGTCTGGAAGCTGTGATGAATAGGCGAGTCTACTCGAAGAAAGGCAGACATCGTAAATAAAATGCAGGTATTTTAAAAAAATATAACACTTTCTACGTCGGTTATGTCATTACCCGACGTAGCAAGTACTTTCTACGTCGGTTAATGGCATAACCGACGTAGAAAGTGTAACATTTTATGTCGGTTATAGGCATAACCGACATTGATAACACATACAATCACGGTTCATCGTTAACCAGATATACATACCTGGGGTTATAGAAAGTTAGAAAGTAAGACTTTCTATGTCGGTTATAATTTTAACCGACATAGAAAGTAAGACTTTCTATGTCGGTTATAAGTGTTAACCGACATAGAAAGTATTATGACAGGTCAGATTCTGTTATGATCGATCAGATTAGCTTCATGACCGATCAAAACCAGTTATGACCGATCAGGATAGCTCATACAACATAAGACTTTCTACGTCGGTTCCCAGACTAACCGACGTAGAAAGTCTTTCTATGACCGATCAGAACCAGTTATGATCGATCATAATAGCTCTATGACCGATCATAACCAGTTTGACCGATCATAATAGCTCAAAGAAACTAAGGCTTTTTACGTCGGTTCCTATTAACCGACGTAGAAAGTCTTACTTTCTACGTCGGTTATTAGGATCCGACGTAGAAAGCCTTACTTTCTATGACTCCCGTATCTATGTCGCCGCTTTAACCGACGTAGAAAGCCCATTTTAACCGATGTAAAAAGCCTTTTCTGCAGTAGTGACACTTCTAGATCAACAAATACCAATGCCGCTTCTCTTTCTCTTCGTCAAAACACTACCTTAGAAACTCAAACACCCAAAGCATCCACTAACCGAACACAATACTGCACCTCGGAAACTCAAACATTCAAAGCAACCTCAAATTCATAGTCAAGGTTGTCGCGGAAGCGGAGACCGTGGAGGTGGGAAGAGGAGCGGCAGGGGGCAGAAGGGGTTGGAGAAGTAGAAACGGATAGAGTCAAGGGAGGGTTGGTGTTGCAAAATGTAGTCATCGGTGAACGGGGATATTGTTTGGTGGGGGAGAAAGTGGAGGGCGGTGATAGAGGTGGAGAACTGGGGTATTTATGGTTTAGGATATCGTAAAAGAGAGGTTTTTTTTTTTTTTTTTTTTTTTTTTTTTTTTTTTATAATCTATTCGTATTGTTAGCAGTTTTTTTCATGGAGTTAATATTATTATTGAATTTAATTAAGGGAGACAAATAAAAATATAAGAGCATATAATATTATATTAAATTTAAAATTTTAAGTGATAATTTGTGATCAGTTTTATTTATATATTATTTAATTTTATTATTTTTATTCAATTTAAAACTTCACCTGAATTCTATCACATATTATATCATATTAATTATAAAAATTATTTATTTTTATTACTTTCTGGTTTGATTGTTTTATAATGTTATCCACTAACTAACGATACAATTATCTACAAAACTAATTTTCTTTTCAATCAAAATTAAATGGAATAGCTCCCAACTATTAAAAGTATAATGAATTATAATAAAAATATATCATATATAGTTTACAAACTTTTGTTAACAAATTGTCTCTCTTAACTAAATAATTAAGGTAAATATGAGAGTATTCACATTAATTATGAACATTCCACACATTAAAGAAAAAAAACCCCACATTAACAATATATTCTATATTTACTTATTTAATATTTTAAAATATATTGACGAAATAGATTTAAAAGAATAATTATAGATTAACTTAAATAGTACGTATGCACTAATCTAAATATATACTTTTTTTATTACTATTCAACAATTTTCGTCATATAATTTAAGGACGATATAAAATCAACACAAGATGTCATGTGACAAAAAAAATGCCACATAATTAGGTCTCTTTAACTAGTGTGATAAAAACCTCTGAGTCTAGCTCTATTAGTTAATGTGGATATCCATATGGGTAGTCAAGGTTATCATATCAACAAATATTGAATTCTCATTCTATGAAAATGCTGCATAAATATACAATTTGTTAAAAGGTATATTTCTTTTAATTTTTACTTATCACTATATTGTTAAGTAATTCCTTTGACCATTTTTCTCAAATCAAATTATACTTATCTAATATTATATGAAAATTTTATCATTATGTACATAAATGTTGAATTTATCTTACATAATTTAATATAATTTTTGTTTTATCAATTTTAGATGAAAACTTCGAGATTGATGGCACCTTGGATAAAAGTTTAGATTGGATATCTGGAATGAAAATATTAGACTCAAAGACATTCCAAGCTTTATTAGAGTCACTACTTTGGATGATATTATGTTTGACTTCTTGGGTTCTGAGGCACGAAATTGTTTGAGATCATCTTCAATCATCATTAACACATTCCAAGACTTGGATGGAGAAGCCCTTGATTCCCTCAGGGCCACGAACCCAAATATATATACCATTGGTCCACTTGACTTACTTGGTAGGCATTTTCCTAAGAAAGAAAAGGGTTTCATGTCAGTTGGGTCAAGTTTATGGAAAAATGACTCAAACTGTTTAACATGGTTAGATAAATGGGAACCTAACTCAGTCGTATATGTTAATTATGGAAGTATAACAGTAATGACAAGTCATCACTTAAAAGAATTTGCTTGGGGACTGGCAAATAGCAAACTACCTTTCTTATGGATAACAAGACCAGATGTAGTTAAGGGTGAATCTGTAGCTCTACCACAAGATTTCTTTGATGAGATCAAGGATAGGGGATATATAACAAGTTGGTGCATTCAAGATCAAGTGCTTTCTCATCCCTCTGTTGGGGTCTTTCTAACCCATTGTGGTTGGAATTCAACACTTGAAAGCGTATCTTCTGGTGTGCCTATGATTTGTTGGCCTTTCTTTGCTGAGCAGCAAACAAATGCTAGGTACTTATGCAGAAATTGGAGGATAGGAATGGAAATTAATCATGATGTGAAGAGAGAAGAGATAACAAAGCTTGTAACAGAAATGATGAAGGGAGAAAAAGGAATGGAAATAAGACAAAAATCCTTAGAGTGGAAGAACAAAGCAATCAGAGCTACTGATGTTGGAGGGTCGTCTTACAACAACTTCCATAAGTTAATTAAGGACATTTTTCACAAAGCTATTTGAGTCTTGTTTGTATGATCAAGTGTACTAAATTTGGTTTGCAATACCCTCGTATGAATAAGTGAATTTATGGGTTTGCAATAACCTTGTATGAATAAGTGAATTTAAATTTTATTTGATTACAAAGTATGTTGTAACGTTAATTTATAACTTAATTGTTAATTTTAATTGTCTTATAATGTAAGTTTAGTCGATAAATATATATATATATATATATATATATATATATATATATATATATATATATATATATATAAAATTTATTAAAGCAAATTTTCTATGTTCATGACGTTAAAAAATTTGTAATTTATTTACTCTCTCGTTATAATATAATCCAAGACTATATGATATTATAGTAAATACTTGATGCCATTTAAATATATATATATATATATATATATATATATATATATATATATATATATATATATATATATATATATATAAAATTTGTAGTGGTCATAACAGACAACGAAAAATACAAGTTTTATTTTATATATAAATTATATAATTTATATTGGGTAATACATTTAAATATGTACCAATTATTTAACTTTTATAGCATCCAAAAATTAATTTTAGTAACATGAAGATTCTACATGTTTGTACATTAAGTTAACCTTTGTTATGTATGGAACAAGGTTAAATCTTAAAATATGTTGACACTTTTTATTCATTGCAAGTATTATTCCTAGGATAAAAATGGTTGAAGAATTATTTTTGATGATGTCTTAATAAATAGTTAAGTAGTTGTGCGAGTAGTTTTTGTTAAAGTCAAATGATTTAATCTTTGTTTAAAATAAAAATGTAAAAAGTTAAAACAACTAATCAATTATGTTAAAATTGAATCAATTAAATATGTATTAATCAATTAGATAAGTACGTAATCGATTATATAAATTCATGTTTTCATAGTGCTAATAATCGATTATGTTTCCAGTTAATCAATTATGTGACTACATCTCTACTTTGACATCATGCGCTAATAATCGATTATATTAGTACCTAATCGATTATATGACTTATTTTCAGCTTGTCACTGCACACAAATAATCAATTAGATGTTTAGTTAATCGATTATCTAAATCAGTTGTAAAAGATTTCAACTCTATAAAAAGATGTAAACTTTCATTAATTAAACATCTTTTTATAAACGACTAAAGCATTGAAAAAGAAAGTCTTAGTGGGCATGAAGACAATGTTTTGAGAAAATCAAATTCAAAGAAGAAATTGTTTGGCTATAGGATTCTTTATTCCAAAAGTTTCAGGTGAATTCGTTCTTGTCTTTTATTTTTGTGAATCTTTATTGTATATTGATGTTTGTGAGGTGAACAATATCTAGTTAGTTTGAAAATTGTGTGGATAGCATTTTCAAGTGTTGTGATTTTTTTCTTAGATCTTGATTAAAGTGTGTTGTGTTTAAGATCCGGAGGTTATGTTGTAATCCAGTTACTCGAATAAGTTTTAGTGGAATTTCAAGCTAAGGTTACTTGAATAACTAGATGCAGATTCAAAGGAATCGAACCAATATAAATTCTTGTTTCTCTTTTTTCTTTTCTTTATCTTGGTTTTCTTATGACCTTAACACATTTCTAATTCTTTTTAAATTTGATTATCAGAAAAAGCACCAAATGTAATAGGGAACGGGTTTTCTCAGAAAATGTAAAATGTCCCTGTTGCCTTGTTTAGAATGATTTTCTCAAAATTGATTGTGTATTCAAATTATATGCTTTTGATTTTTCATCAAACTTCATTTAAATAGGAAAATAGCATTGAATATGTTAGAATAAAAATAAAAAATAGTCTTTGCTCATTAGTTAATTCGTAGAGAAAAATCAGGATGATTTCAAAAGCTATTATCTTTCAAAAACGGATATATTTTTCAAATTTGAAGTGTCATAATCGATTATGTTACTTGCATAATCGATTATGACAGAGGCAAAATCAATTTTTCATTTCTGATGCATCATAATCGATTATGACAGTGAAAACTATCATAATACGAAATTGTTTCACACTTGTGTTTTGGAGGCTTATGCACAATTCTACTTCATCAACTTGTACCTCTATATCCAGTGTTCTAAGACTCTATCTAGTCTCTGGACTTGCTTGAGTCTTGAATAGTGTTGACTTGAATCTCATCAAAATCATCTTCTTCAAAATGTAGGGAAATGTTTCACATTGCTATCAATCTCCCCCATAGTGCTTTCAATCTCCCCCTTTTTGATGATGATCAAGGAAACACCTGAAATGAATTTAAAATGCTTGACTCTATATAGCCAACTCAAGATTAGCACAAATTAGCAAAGTGTTAAGTGGCAAAAGTTGATGTAATTATGCTTTGAATTGTTATTTAACCACTTAAATTATGTTGATTCTAATATATTTTTCTCCCAATGTATGATGAACTTACAGAGTACCTGGGTACAAGAGCAAGGATCATAATTCTCAAGTTAATTGAAGAAAAATTGGAAAGAAGGAAGAAGATTTTCAACCTAAGATTCGCTTGAGCGGGATAGACGCTCCCTTGAGTAAAAGTACATTAAACCTCTCTGGAAGTCTGTCGCTCAAGAGAGCGAATTCTCGCTTGAGCGAATCATTAATACTCGCTTGAGTAAAAGTATCCGCTTAAGCGAATGACGCGAGACCCAAATTCTTCTATAAATAGATAAGACGCATTTTAAGATGAAATAACAGGTTTTTGGATAAGAGGCGCGACGGCTGTTCTATTCTTCATCAATTCTTCTTCATTTGGATGCTTGTAATGGCCACAATGAGTAACTAACTTCATTCTCTTAGGATTAGGTGCACTTCCTTTGAACTCTTTTGTATCTTGATGATATTTTGAGATATTAATCTATGTTCTTGATGTTGTTATTCTTATCCTTTGTGCCTTTGAACATTTACTCTTGATGCTTGGGATATGATTGGAAAATATATCTTGAACCCTAGATCATGGTAAGAATAGAATATTTCTTACGTTAATTGCCAGGAATGGAATGAATGTATCAATTGCTTAACACCCTAAACCTAAAGCTGGAAAATCTCTTAATTGTGTGAGGAATCAACATTTACTAGGTTTTTTTATGAATTTCATGTGTGAGGATTCAACATGAATGATTTGAGTAGGTGACATCAACATTAATAGGTTAATTGATGTTCTTAATTGACTTAGCCATTATACAAAAGAGGGAAAAAGAATGAAACCAATCCTAAGTTCTTTTATTTGATATTTTCTAAAAACATTTTACAGTTCTTTGTCATTTTTTTTCAACCCAAATCTTTATGAAAAATCCAATTTACTTTAATTTACTTAGTAAGCATATGATTTGAAATTTCCAGTGAAATCATTCCTCGTGGGATCAAATTTTATTTAATCGAAATACTATACTACGATTGATAATTTTGGTACGCTTGCCAAATATTCAACAAGTATTTCTGGCGCCGTTGGCGGGAAACGACGTTCCTTGAGAATTCTTTGTTTAGCTTATTAAGTATTGTGAATGTTTTCTTTTTAGTTTGTCTTTTTATTTTCTATTAGTTTTATTTTGCTTATTTGTGGTCCTGTGCTAATCCTTGCTTGAGTTGCTCCTTTGATTTATGCTTTTAAGAGGACAGGTTCCTATAGATCAACTAGAATTTAATCCTGAGATTGAAAAGACTACTCGGAGGAATCGTGGTAGAAGAAGAAGAGAAACTCAAGAACAAGAAATAGGAGAATCAATTAACTCTTTGCCCGCACTAAACTTACCAGATCCAATCATAGAAGACATGGAAGGTGAAGGAATAGACCCACCTAAAAGAACACTCAGAGATTATGTTATGCAACAAGGTCCGAGACACTTCTCCAGCATTGCAATACTAGCCGACCAATCCTTGGAGATGAAGTCAACCTTCTTAAGCTTGATTAGTGCTCATCAATTAACTGGAATGGATCATGAAGATCCCTATATTCATTTGTCTACTTTTTATGAGTTGATTGGTACCATGAGATTTAAAGAAGGAGATATGGAATCTGCATACTTGAGATTGTTTCCTTTTTCATTGGCTGGTAGGGCAAAGGAGTGTTTAAAAGCACATCCTAAGCATAGTTTGACTAGCTGGGGTAATGTAGAAGAGAAGTTCCTGAACAGATATTTTCCACCATCCCGCTACATCAAGGAAAAATCCGACATTTATACTTTCAAACAAGTAGCAGATGAACCTTTTTGTGAAGCATGGGAGAGATTTAAATAACTATTAAGGAGGTGCCCAAATCATGGATTTAAAGATATTGCCCAGTTGAACATATTTTGCACTGGCCTGAGACCTGACACAAAGATGCTTTTAGATGCTACAGCAAGAGGAACCATGATGTCTATGGATGCTGAACATGCCACAAGAATTATTGATGCACTAGCCTCTACAAACCAGCAGGCCCAACATGATAGACATCCAATTCAGAGGAAAGGAGTATTTGAGCTTAGCACCTCAGATGCTATCTTAGCTCAAAATAAAATTCTAACTCAACAAATTGAAGTGTTGACCCAGCAGATTGCGAAACTACCTCAATAATTACATGTTGTCCAATCTTCTCCTAGTCAACAAAAATTCATGAAATATGACTTTTATGGAGGTGACCATTCAAATGGACATTGTTCTTACCAAGACAACTTACAAGCAGAAGAAACTCATTATATGGGTCCTCAAGGTGGTAGTGGCCAAGGACGACAAGAAAATTTCCCTAATTCTAACAACTATCCGAACAATTTTGCACAAGGATGGAGAGGGAATCAGAATCAGAACTTTGGGTGGAAACAAGATGCTGGTCCATCTAATAGACAAGCTCCATATCAACAACAGTCATATCAGCAACCTCCATATCAACAACAACAACATTATCCTCCAGTGCATGAGAGAATAGGAAAATTGGAGGACACTATGGAGAAATTCATGCAAGCTTCCTTGTGTAATCAGAAAAATACGGAGGCTTCGATCAGAAATATAGAGACCCAGGTGGGCCA